TCAGAAGAGCCGTCTCATGGTAGTGAACTTTTATTTTTAATAAAATTATTATTCTCTAATTTATAAAACCGTTATGAAAAAACATGAAATTAGATCACATAATTACCGAAGGAATAAATGGAGCGAGTATAACAAATCTTTAGTTTTTTACAATGTATGATCTGTATTTATTATTATTTAATAATATTATTATATTTAAAAAAATCTTTCTAATCATTATACTTTACGAACGTTTATCAATTATCCAATAGTACAGTATATATGTTGTATTTCTTAAGTATCATAATTGAGAACCTTGGCTCACGAGGAATAATTACTTGTTTCAAAACTGGTTTAGTAAGAGTTTCCATTTTAGTTATTTCTATTTTTATTCATTTTTGTTTTTTTTTCTCCCATTAATATTCCAAAAAACAACCATAATGATAACAGCGAAACGTCGTCTCATTTTTATTATTATTCAAAAATCATTTTGGATTGTCGAAAACGAACAATATTGTAATATTTTTTTAGATTGCGTGACAACACCATACAAGGCAAGTATTACTAAAAGTTCAGTAAAGTAAAGTGGGTGGAACTTATTACTGGCTGTTCGGATCGTCCTATTATACGGCCCTAGCAGTTACCCCACTGAGTTCAGGCCAATGTGTTAGTTCATAGTCATTGAAAGTCCAGTGAATTATTATTTTTTTCGAAAATTAATAAAGTGGGTGGAACTTTTTACTGGCTGCCCTTCTTTGGAGGAGTGACCCCACTCAAGATGGCTCATGTGTTGGCTTATGCCTGTTTTACTCAAGGTAGCTTTGCTTAGTCAATTATTTGGCTAATGAAAAAATCTTTTTTTCATTTTCTTATTTTTAGATGCTTTCACCACAACAAAAAAGAAAAATTCAATATGCAACAAGGCAAGTCTTCTTTACTTAAAGTGGGGTAATCTGTGTTTACCGGCTGTGCCCATGTGATGATATTGATATTGAAAAAAAGAGGTAATTGATTCTACTTTACAAATTGAAAGATAATGGTGATGAAAAGAGGTGATTGATGGTCGCGTAACAGTTCTATCATATTTATTTTATTCTTTATGCATAATATTCTTCATTGATTCATTGACGATCTTCAAAAACACATGACAATGAAATTTTAAAAAGTTCAGCAACTAGGTAAATTACGAGTTGTGGTCTTTTAGGTATTATTTCTGTTTTTATGATATTAATCTCACCATCCTCATTCTCTTCTTCATCCTCTTTATCATCATCTTCTCCATCTCCATCCTCATCATAATATTTATCTCCATCATCGCCATAATCCACCACTTGGACATGCTCGATGTTTTTAATTGTTTCATCAACTAATTGACTTATAGTTAATAACCTTTTAAACATCGCAAGTAATTGTCTTTTGATATTTTTGTCAAAGTCAATGGTAAATTTGAAAGACAAAAAATAAAAAGGAGGAATTGCTTCAGAAAACGAAAAACTTCGACTTTTTGATTCAGTTGCTAAATGTATAAATTAACTCATTATTTTTTTTAACAGAACTTACTGGCAACATTTTAATTAATTTCATTTTTAAAAAAATGTGGTCCAAGATAATATATCCGTTAATGGAGTTCGTAGCGTTAAGTAAGAAAGAATATTATCACAAACACCAATTATAATGCGCAAACGAATTTATTATACAAATCTCGCCTGCTTTTTTCATATTAGAAGAGTTGTGTTTATCAATCATTCAACTGTTTCTATTTCATGAAATTCTTTGTTGAAGAATTTGGGAAACATTTACTTACATATTTTTATTACAAGAAACGACCAAAATAATTTTTAAGAGTAACATCACGTTTATTTCACTTTGAAGGTTAAGATTATTCTCTTCATGTCAGTACCCAAAAACCAAACATCTATTATGTAGGTTATTGAGAGAACGCCTTTAAAAAACAAAAACTCTCACGAATGAGTGGGCAAAACACATGAGTGATATAAATATTCACAATACTTACAATTGCTTAATTTTTTATAGAGTCGCGACCAAGCAAAGCAAATGAAGAGTGTAATGGTGGAAGAT